TGGCTGCATCAATGGGCCCAGGCACAGGCACAATGGTGAGGGTGGTGCAGGACCAGGCGGTGTTTCCTGCTGTTGGGCACGGGGTGGCGATGGGTGGGAACCCACTCAACGGCACCTCACAACATCAACAACAACAATGGACTCATCCACAGGGCATTTCTCCGCCCTGGTTTTGTTCATCAAGTGAGCCCTGAGGCTCAGCGTGAAGTCCAGAAGCTGCTCAGTCTTAAAGAAGGTGGCACTTCCGACCTCGTAAGCAAATGATCATTAGAATGCACCTATGTCCAGCTCCTCAGACTTCCCCTCATCGCTCCCCACTCCCCCGGTGGTAGAGGCCCTCTGCCTGCAGCCCCCCAAGAGGGCGGCTCCTGCCGTAGGTGTGGTGAGCCCATACAGTGCTTTACCTGCTTCTCAGGTGACAGGCCCGACACGGCCATGTAGGTGCTGCCAATGGTCTTGATTTTTTCGATGTCTTGAAACCGGTCTTCGCCGAGCAACTGAAAGAGACCCAGCAACAGTGTTGTCAGGGCGGCGCCAGTCTGCTGGCAGGCTGCGCTCCAGAGAGAGGGTCTCAGCTCACATGGGGATGGCGCCCAGACTCGTTTAGCATTTTCTCTCCGAGCTCACCCCCCGGGCCAGTCACCGGTGTTATGGAGCACCCACTGGTGCCAGCTGCCGAGTGTGACCTGCTCTGGAGAGAGGGTCTGTTTCTGTGAAGCCTCTGAAATAAGCACAGCTCTTGCATTCCCTAAAGGAGCCCTGTAGAGTAGTGGGCTATGCATTGATCTGCTAACCAAAAGGTCAGCAGTTTGAAACACCAGCCACTCCTCAGGAGAAAGACATCACTTTCTAGTCTTTATAAAGAGTGATGGTCTCAGAAACTCTACCTGGTCCTGCAGGGTCGCTATGAGTCAGAACCCAGATAGTGTTTGAGTTTTTATCACATTCGTTTAAAGAAGACATCACCAAGTTTGTACAAAGGGTGGTGTGTGTGAGTGTCAATGCTTGTGTGTGAACACATGTGTCGAAGGTGAAGGAGGGTGTGTATGAAAGCAGATGTGAGTATGAGTGTGTGTGAGACTGTGAGTACACATGGGAGTGTGTAGAATGTGTGTGTATGTGAGAGAGAGAGAGAGTGAGACGGTGTGAGTGCGTGTGTGAGTGTATGTGAATATGGATGTAGATGCTGCTGGTGCCCCACTCAGTCATGCTGTGCATGTTGACGGAAGGTGCTGTATCGCTAGACCCATGGTGGGTTGTTTCCCTGGGCCATTGGTAGCCCCCTTGCTGGCAGCATCTGGAATGTTTGTTATCCACCCCACCAGGGCAGACCAAGCCAACAGCTGGCCAACACAGGTATACTCGATCCTAGCTCCTTGGCCTCAATGGGAGCTGACTATGCAGCAGCAAGTACGCTCCTGCAAGTTCCCTGTAGGGTCAGGCGGAGGCTCCACACAGCTGGACCCGCCTCTTTGCTTAGCTTCTTTCCCAGAAAAAGTTTTTTTCCATAATCATTTTGTTCCCACCTCCGGCTCAGGCCGATGGGTGAACGTTGGCATCATTCATGATGAAGCCCGTGGCAGGAGAAGGTCCACTCCCATCAAGCCTGGCAATGTCACCCCAGTGCAGCACGCGTGTGCTCCCACAGCACGTGTTATTTAGACTCAGGGAGCCCGGGAGGAGAAAGTGCTCTCTGGAGTATATGTGGACCTTGCTTTCTGGCCAAATGCTCATTGATGATTCCGAGTAGAGAGGGACATGCTCCCCTGAGGACCATGTCCAGCGCCTGTGATACCAAAGGCTGAGTAGCATTCATAATGGACAGGCCTCTGGCCAGAGCCTGGTGGTGCCATTTGTGGTTGGATGATGTTGGGTTGTTGCCTGGCCTCTCCCTTGAGCTCTCAAATGGACCAAGAGCAGCATGTGCTTCAGCCAGGAATAGCAACTGGGAAATTCGGTGTCCCACCTCAGGGTTGAGAACGCAGCCTAGCATTTCAGTCCGTGCTTGGAACAGGCACAGGGATGGTGCACCATGTGACAGGTGACTTGGTGGTTGCTACAGTGAACCACCCGCTGAAGCCCACCTGGGATGCTAAACCTCTGGGGCTTGGCTTTACCTCATCGAAGTCGGCGATGATCTCATTCAGCAAGCGCAGGCACTCCACTCCTTGGTTATTCATTTCGGTCTGGGAGTAGAAGTCGGCAAACCCGGGGATGGAGGCGAACATCACGCCAACGGCATCGTAGGACTGAGAATACAGCTCCTGGATAGAGACACAGAGGGAGCCAGCAAGTTCATCAGAGGTGAGCTTCTGCCGGGGACGCTACTTGTGCACACCTGCATCCATGTGCAGAGACTGGGTGGATCAGGGCCATGGAACATCTGTGGTCTCCTAACTAGGCCTAGGGTTGTGACCCCCGTTCTTGTGTCCTTGGGTCAGCTCCCTTTCTGTTCTCATGAGACTGCTACCCACAAGATGGGCGGTTCAAACCCACCAGCCACTCCTTGGGAGACATTGGCGTCCAGTTGCCACTGTAAGGTTTCCCGTCTTGAAGGCCCTACATAGGGTCACTATGGGTCAGAATCCAGTCGACGGCATTGGGTTTGGCGTGTGGTCTGATATTCATCTGAGTAGATTACGGATGCCCTTGTCTCTTCCCATATTGAGACAAGGTGACCATTACTAGTGAGCACCTTCTGATCCAGGACTTACCCGCTTGTCTACATTCAAATGGATTTTCATCTCTCCTGCTTCAACTCCAGACCGGGGTGGGGAGTGGAGGGAGGGGGGTGGTGTCTGTATCCTAAGCTCTGGACCCCGACTGCTTTTTTC